GCCCTTATGGCAGTAAAATTCCCAAGATACCTCTTAAGAGCGTTTTCTTTGACAATAAGAGATATACTCTTTCAGATAGGAGGTAAAATTTCATTTTGGTGCCAAAAGTGAAAAGAATTACTGAACTCTGCGGTCTAAAATCCCTTTGTTTCTGATAATATTGATGCTCATATGGTCTCAGCTCTCTCCTAGAGAATCTTTGGGTTTGATTCAATAGTTTCCTTTTGCCTTGAAAATCTAACATTGGGGATTCGAAAAATCACTGTTGGGAGCACACTGTGATTCTATTCTGTTCTTCAGAACTATATGCTTTATTCAGATTGGATCTGTCTTTTTGCCCATTCATCATTTTCTTCTCCTTTCAGAATGATGGATTGGATAGGGTATTTTATAAATCATTAAGCAGCTTAGTTCTTCATCATCGCCTAGGGAAATTATTTCATTGACATATGCATGTGCATATAAATTTTTTGTTTTGTTGAAATCCCATGGACAATCAGGAAAATCTATTCATGATTTAAATAGTGATCATGCTAGGTATAGCTTTCACCGAAGAAACAATATTGTCAAGCGAAGTTCTTCGTTGTCATTGCTATACCATTCTGGAGATGGATATTGAAGTATTCCTACTCCAACTATATCTTGGTTTTGGTGAACCTCAAACTTGGTAGTCTTTCAAAGCTCCATTGCGACTGTTTAAATCTCTATTAGCATGTGTTACTTCTTTTTATTTTTGCAATCCTGCCTGTGGTTCTTAACCTTACGAACATACCCTGCAAGGCTGCAAATTAGGGCGCTTCATTTGGAGTTCGTATGCTTATGCTGATCTCTGGATCCTTAGCATTTTCATCAGAGAATGATATAGCTTTTCGGACTTAAGATTAAAAATAAATTTTGGTTCTTAAAAGTTAGCTGAGCCAAGATCTTCAGCCAATTTCTGAGGCAAGCACACACTTAAGATGTTCTGCTAATGTTTTAACTGATTAAAGTCATGAAGTTGTGTTCGGTCCATGTTTGAAAGACTTGAAAGCTGAATGAGTATAAAATGTTTGGAATCTGTACTTACTTCTTTCAATTTTAGGTTGTTGGCAGAAAGTACGTAAGGCTTTATCCAACTACAGCAACTGATGACTTGTACCCTTATGCTGAGTCCATGTTAGGCAACTCTAGTCAGGTAAGTCCTGCTGCTAAATTTCATGATGGAAAACAAACATAATTATTCATTTAAAAAGTTGTTGTCAAAAGACATTTACCTTGATGTTCTGTGCACTTGTTTTAGTCTATAACTTTTGAATTTATTTTAGGGTTATTTTAAGGAAACCTCATAGAGGTGTCCTGGACTTTTTTTATTTCAAATTTTATTTTTTTTAACTTAAATCAAAGTTGAAAAAGAATAAAAATTGGAATAAAATAAGTTAGTAACTAACTACTAGAATATAAGGAAGGGGAACAGGTAAAACAATGGGTGATTACTATTTTGAGATTGAAGAAAGAGGGAATTTTTAGTTGCTCAAAAGTGAAATCAGATCAGAAGATATGGCAAATATATTTTAAGATAGAAAAAGATAAAAATTGAAACAAAATAAATTCGTTAACTACTAGAATAATATGAAGCTATGGAATATGTGAGAAGGGTTTATTATTTCCCTGGGGTGTTTTGAGTTGGACAAAGTGAAATTAGATCAGAAAATATGGTTCTTCCCTCTAGTTCGAGTTAAGTGAAACTATCCAGTGGTGTCCTGTCCACTGAGTAGTTAGTGCCCGAACAGGAGATTAACCTTTACTTAACGTAGATGCAGTAATCCCTAAACCTCCTTATTCTACATTAATCCAAGAATAGGTAGCTGGTAGCCCATTGATTCGCCCCACGTCAGAAATTTACGAAGGTATGGATGAGTTTATTAGCCAAAGTACGCGTTGCACTCCCTGGGTTCCAGGACTTACATCGCATCAATGTATATTCCTTTTATTTGTGCACCAACTACCCAATGGACATGGACTAGATTGTTGCTCATTTAATATCTAACAACTTTGATTTACATAAATACCAATCTTTGGAGTTATTATGGTCATATTTGATTCTTCTTCTTTTCTTTTCCTCACGGCTGAATCTGATGCCAATTCCTCATGATTTTTTCGCTTTCAGGTGGACCTCGACAATCCTAATGTGAAAGAATTTCCCAGGGCAGAGAATTTGGATTTCTTCGACTGCATATTAGAGGAAGGCGAAATGCTTTATATTCCGCCTAAATGGTGGCACTATGTGAGATCACTTTCTTCTAGCTTTTCTGTCAGTTTTTGGTGGGGTGCCGCAGGACACCCCACTGGGGGAACGTAGTATATTAATCCTTTCTGATTGATGCAAATCTGGTCTTGATTTCTGGAACGGCTGAAATGATAAAAAATTCTGGAGGAAAGAGTATATATTGCCAGGGGAGAAAAACCATGATGTAATGTTAATTTGTACATGAAGTATTATTTGGTGATCTAAGTATCCATACGTAGAGAAATTAGTAATTAATTTAGTTTATTGATCAAGTTGGGCACTCTGAATTTATATTCCTCGATGCTGAATATTAGGCTAATTTCTCTGCCTCTGTTCTGTGGAGGTGAGAAATCTGCTGGTGAATTCAACACCTTGTATACTAATATGTATTTTAACTTCAAGGGCCTCATAGTAGAAATTTGTAAGGTGCGTACTGAAGGTTTGTTCTCAGTTTGTTAGTCTTATTCGTTTTATAATAGAGCCTTTATTATTATTTTTTTGATACTTTTGTGATAATGCTAATATAAGAGGTAAGTGCTAACGAATGAGAGAGAGAGAGAGAGAGAGAGGGGGGGGGGGGGGGAAGAAGAGAATTCTAGGGTTTT